ATTGAATTCAAATTCCACCATCTGCTGTGGCAGGATTTGAATCCAGATCCCCAAACCATTACCTGGGGCTCTGGATTAACTGTCCAGTGATAATACCATTAGGCCATTGCCTCCCATCTAGTTCTGTACTCGATTGTACAAACAAAGTAAAACATGAATGATAAGAGTATCCAACTTTTTTTTATTTTAAAAATATACTTTATTCCTAAAAATAGCTTTATATACTTACATAGTCATTAAAGCAGGTTGGTTCTGCATAGCAGCATGTGAAGAAACAATAAAATATTGGAGTTTGACTCTAGTTAGCAAACAAACCAAAGGTTTTTCTTTCTGAAGAAGGGTCTAGGCCCGAAACGTCAGCCTTCCTGCTCCTCCGATGCTGCTTGGCCTGCTGTGTTCATCCAGCTCTACACCTTATTAATTTAGAGCAATGGTTTCAATTGGTGTGACGTAAGAACTATCCGACTGGGACGTGAAATTTTGTACAAAGACAATGAAAATCAAAGTAAAACAAACATTATTTCATCTTAAACAATATTCTATCCACCCAAAATTATATCAAACCCTATAAAACATCAAATGAAAAGTGAGGGATTGGCCTTTCATTCTAAAACTTGAGCATTCTAAGCGCAGGTGGCCAAGGACAAATGTGTTCTTATATTCTAGTAAAAGCTAAGAACTAGTGATCGCAGAAACTAAGCAAAGGCATTTACGTGCCTTATTCTCCCCCAGATCAAAAGGCTCTGCACAGACCAGCAGGCCCAGGTTTCCTACTAACCTGATAAATTTACTCTACTTTGTGTTTTGCTCTGATCCATTGAGTTCCAATCCCACATCAGCACAACCATTTAATAAAAATCATATTTAAAAATATTATAAATATGAAGTGTCAACTGTGAAATTCAGACCCCAGAACAGAATGCAGCACATGAAACAGATTAAGGACTGTGAGTAGATATAAATAGTCAAGTTGAGCTGAGCGAATATGGATAATGTCCCTGTGTTCACTGTTGAAGATGCTGTACTTTTGCCAGTGAATATGAAACATTAATGCATTTGATCCTTCTTTAGCTTGTTGTATGCACTATGTCATAAACCTCTCTAGTAAGGCCATAACCAGAGTTAACGCAAGTAAAGGTGACATTTGTGAGCAATCACTTCAGCTAAAAAAATGTGGACGTGCTATGGAATTGTTTGCCTCATTGAAGTATGTCATGTTACTGAAAGTTTGGGAACCTTGCTCTCACGCACAATGATTTTGACTACTTTCAGCACAAATTTGAGACCCCAAACTGTATGGAGCTAAACTGCCTTTGGGGTGCAAGCTTCATCCTTCCATAGCTAGCTCTCCACTGGTACATGAGGGGTATTAGCAAGAAAATGAATATTGTCAACTTTATTGACAAGAGGTGACACAGTAAGTTGTGGTTGCATGCCTGAGGGGTTTCTTTAAATCAAACAACATTAAGCAAATCAGATTTTCCCATCACAATTGTATAAAGGTTGCAGTTAGATTCAGTAAGAATTTTGTACATCAGGACATTAAATAAAAACATTATATTCTAATGTAAAATACTTTATGTTAGTAAATGAAATAACTTCCAAAATAGAATGAATTTAAAACCATGAAAGAGAAACACTACCTCTTCTACTTACCATCAGTTTAGTGCTACTCCCAATGGCACTCTTGATTCATCCACTCCCTGATCCTTTAGTTTATCACTTGTCCCATTTCCCCTTCCTTTCCAGTCACTGCCGAACAAGCTTACCAACCCTCCCTCTCACCACTTTAACCTCACAAACCCTCATTGTGAGGAAGAGCTCATAAATTGAGCACAATAAGGGAAGCAGCCTCAAGCTGCAGAGGTAAGCTGCAAACTGGAGAGGGAGCAAGTGGAAGGTTCAAATTCGGGAAAGGTTGACAAGAGAGAAATGACCAGAGTGTCACGGAGTGGGGAAGGCCACTCTAAAATAAATAGTGATATCACACAGTCCTAGGTAAGCCCAGTGCAAAAAAAAATGTTCCAACAAATCACCCAACCCTAAAATAAATATTAACTAAGCATCCTATTAACTGACTGATGTTAAAGCAGAACTACTTCATGTAAGCCAATTTAAAATGGGGACTTAATATATTTATGCTATTTTTGTACAATGGCATGGTTTGCTGGATATTTTACATGACATTAAAAACCAATTAAATAGTGTGGAACTGAAGTTGTATAGGTTAGATTGGAGGCGATCAGTAAAGCAGTTAAGCTTTTATGATAATCCAACAGCTAGTCCTGATATTTTTCTTTCCCTGCTGCCAACCCACATATTACCAGTTTTATTGAACTTGATGTCACAATTTGGCATGATGGGTTTTGGACTCCGTGAACAGAGTTTTAAAAGCATCAACATTATCATGCAATTTTAGGAAGTATTCAAACATTTTAGCTACTTGCACTGGCTTGTGTAGAAGAGTTCCTGGCAAGAAAGTAGCGGTGTTTAACAATGCATTTGTATTGGATTTAATAGCTTTGCACATACAGATTAGCTTGTACGTCAGTTTATATAGGCCTTAGCCTTATGATTTATATTACTTAACTTGTAAAGTCTTGGTTTTGAGGCCATGTGACCTGATACACGTTGGACTTTGAACCTACAGAATACTTATGAATTTCCAACTACATTAAGATGAAACAAATTGCACACTACAAGCTTTAACCACCAGCAATACGATAATCTGATTCTGTGATGTGGATTAATGAATAAATATTGGCAAGGATGCACTGGATAATTCCAATGCTTTCTTTGGATTACTGCCATGGGAGTATTTCTACATCCAGCTGAGGACATAGACAGGGCTTAGTTTAATTTCTTGTTTGAATAGCTGAATAACGCAGCTCTCCCTCCATACTGTTGCATAAGCATCAGTCCAGACTTTTGAAATCAAATCCTGGAATGTGATTTGAACCCATAACTTTATAATGCAGAAGCAACAGTACTAAGAATTAGGTGACCTGGATAAACTGTGAAGCAAATAGTTCGGAGTAACTTGTGCAAGAAATGAGAGACTACATCTGATGTGTAAAGTTATTTGGTAGGAAAAAAATGGAGAAGGAAAATACTTTTAAAAGAGGTGGGCAGTTAGTGAGGCATGTAAATCAGAGGAATTTACATGTTCTTGCACGTGAACCACAGAGTGTTAACATGGAGGTTTAGTGAGCCTCAAGGAAAAATATATGATCCTCTAATCTTGGATTAGGGTACAAGAGCATGCAAGTCTTGATACAATTACATAGGTATCATATATAGTTTCTGCTGCCTTATGCAAGGAGAAATATACATGCCTTAGCATGGTGTACAACCAAAGTTCACTAGATTAATTCCTGGGGTGACAGGCTTGTCCAATGAGAAACTATTAGTAGTCCAAACTGATGCTCTTAGGATTTATGAAAATCAGAAGTCATCCCATTGAAAACATATTAAATTTTTTGGAGGCTTAACAGGATGAACGCTGAAATGCTGGTTTCCGAGACTGGAGAGTCTAGAATTAACAGCTGTAGCCTTAGGATAAGTGGCCAGGAATTTAGAACTGAGATAGGAATTTCTCCAATTTTAGGATTGTGAAAGTGTGAAATTCTCTATCCCGGAGAAACTAATGTATTTCTGCAAGGTCTTATGTTCACTCCGATTTCTGCTCAGTTGAAGATATGCACAAGTGAGACTGACACTTTTTGGGTAACCAAGTGATATGGGGATAAAACAGGAGTGGATTCAAAAGTTCAGTCATGATCCTATGGGCTGACAGAGCTGGCTGTGAAAGTCAAAGTGCTGATAATGGATATTGATCACCAACCTACTCACCCTTTGTCAACAAAGAAATCAAGGAAGGTAGTGGTAGATTCAGAGATGGGCTGTGTGAAGATAAGGGAGAAAAGATAGAAATTGAAAAAAATTTGAATAAAATTTTCCAGTTCTGAGCAAGAACAGGAAATGACATCAGTACAGTCATCACCGTTCTTATGAAAGAGGTGATAGAAAGGATTTGAACAGGACTGAAGCAAAAACCACTCCACACACCCCACTAAAGGTGGTATACTGAGCACACCAACTTGTGTTCCCAAAGCAACACCTTTTTTTTGGAGGAAGCAACTGGAGTCAAAGGGGAAGTTATTTATTGCAAAAACAATTTTGTCACCTTATTTCTCCAATTCAGATCTACATTTTGTTTATTCCCCACCTCCTTGACATTTTCCTGCCACTGCTCTTGCTTATAAACTATTATATTTCAAGTTTTCTCCAGTTCTGATGAATGGTCATCATGCTAAAAGGTACTTACAAAATCCATAGACTTTGGCTGACCTTCAAAGCGTTTCCAACTTTTTCTGTTTTTATTTTTGATTTCTGGCTGCTTCAATATTTTGCTTAAATATGTAACTTTCTAAATCTAGACCTCTTTAAGCTCTCAACTATCCATAACAGAGGTCCGTTTGTATTCCTAAGTTGCATGATCAGTGTCCTTTATGGCACTGTACTCCTGCAACAGACAGCACTTATTCTTAATGAGTCTTGCATTCATGTACATGCATATTTTTCACCTCCTTTCTTTACAACCAAATGTGCCTATCCCCAGTGCCTGGCTCCCATATGAGCTATGATGTCAACTAATTTCTAATGTCAATCAACCAAACTGAATGTTTATTTTCTTCTTTCCTCTTCACGTCTGCCTAACTAAAACATAATTTTAAAAAGTCTCAATAACAATTTAAAGCAGGAAACATACCCATGTGCTTTCTCCCAACTGGATGGCATCATGGAAAAGCAGAAGGGCTAAATGTTCAAAATCAAGACAAAACTTTTCTTTGATTTGAAAACTACTTTATCAAATGGGCATAATTTAGTGTGCATTCACTCATTTGTTGGAGAATTCTCACCATACAGCAAGATTCAGAATTTACCTAATTTGCTCTGTCTGTACAATGCCCTCTTTGTGGCCTTCCAAACGAGCTGCCAAACGCTCTTTGTCAAGTCGTACACGTTCTTCATCCTAATTATAAGAAACCACCATGATATTTTTAACAAATCAGCATTGTTAATTAATTATATCTTTTAAAACAAAGCATCAATTTTAAAATACAATCTGTGAAATTACCAAAGATTCTGAAACATTTTAGATCATTTCATATTATTTATAAAAACACAAAAATTGACTCAACATAACATTTTCCTATATTTGTTGGGCAATTGTAAAATTAATTTAAGTAGATTTATTCATTTCAACTAGAAGTCTTTCAGATCTTAGCATCATTACAACTTTCATACTTTTGTGTAAAATAGCTATACCACATGGTATTGCAACTGTGAATTCAGATAAGACACATCAATTTTGGTCCCTTTAAACTTGATTTATCAGTGCCTGTTTTACCAGCCTTCAACTCTCCATAAATTTCAGTTCATAAAAAAACGGAGGCGGTCGTATCCCACCTCACATTATATCCCACAAACCCATCATTCCAATCAATGTTGCCATACTGGGGCTCCCTCTATACAAAGCATCAGGGTTTATAATCAGCATCTTCAAATTCCACACGAGCCTTGCCCCGTCTGTTGACCCTCTGACTCTGGACTATTACTCATTCTTGCTCACAATACCACATTAAAACGTTGGAAAGCATAGCCATCAGCTAGCTCAACCACACACTCCTTACATCTGTCCACTCTTTAATCGCAAAAAAGACTTTCAAAGCAATTTAATTCTAAACAAGATTTGGTCGTCATTGTTAATTATCAGAACTCAACTCACTATGTTCAATTAATCCTGATGGGCTTTCCTCCTCTAGTTCTGGAAATGCATAATGGGGCAAAATTGATTAATTCCCTCAGAGGGGATAGTGATCATGAAATGATGAATTTCACGTTCAGTTTAAGGGTGAAAAATTCTGGGCCCGACACTAGTGCTTTAAATGCAATTTTAAGATTTCAGAGCTGGCTGAAGCAGACCAGGAAACCAGATTAAAAGCAAAGCCTGTAGATAAGGTGTGGCAGACATATCAGGCGATCTTCAGTAATTATCAACAAAGATCCACTATATTCCATTGAGGTAGTCTTTATGAAAAAATACACCATCCATGGCAAGCCAAGTCAAAGATAGTATCAAAAAGAAAGAAAACGCATACAATGTTGCAAAGATGTGCCAGAAGACTGGGGGAATTTTAGAAACTGGAAAGGGTGATTAATAAACAAAAGATGGGACAAATAAGATTGAGAGAAAACCAGTAAAAAGACAAACAGTAAGATCTTATAAAAGTTCATACAAGGGAAAAGTAGTTAAGTAAGCATTTATCCATTAGATGATGATCTTGGGGGAATAATAACAGGAAACAAGTCCAAGAACAAATATTAGCACCAATCTTCGTGGCAGAAAACTTTAAAAGAACCCAACAATAATACAAAATCTGAAGGCAACAGGGTGGAACCCAAAAGAATCACCTCAGACAAAAAAAAGGCAAACTTATGAGAACAAAGCCAGAAAGCCCCTTGAACTTGATGGCCTGACCCCTAGGATCACTGGTTACATCAGTCGTAATCTTCCAAAATTCTTAAGATATTGGAAAGGTCTGTCTCAGAAGACAAAAATGAAACAAATGGAGGACCTTTACAGGAAAAAGCAAATAAATTACAGGCCAGTTTACCTAACATTTACCACTGGGAAAATGCAAGAATTCATTATTGAAGCACTCGTAGTGGCTATTTTAAAACTTATTGTGCCATCAAATAAAGTCATAATGTTTTGATGAAAGGAAAATCATCTTCGAGAATTTTATTAGAGTTCTTCAAGGATGTAACAAGCATGGTGAATCAAAGGGAAAGAGTAGATGGAATGTATTTGGATTTCCAAAAGGCATTAAAGGTGCCATTTAGAACAGTACTACACAAATTAAGGGCTCATGGTGTTGGAAATGATATAATAGTGCAGAGGACTAAGTAACTAACAGAAAGCAAGTGTCAGAATAACTAGCTCATTTTAAGGTTGACAAACAAAATGGTGGGATGCCACAGGGATCAGTGCGATGGCCTCAACTAATTGCGTGTACTGATAACTTGCATCAAGGGACAAGGCCAAATTTGTAACTGACACTAGGATGCATAGAAAGAAAGGTGTAAAGAAGACAAAGACTCTGCAAAAAGATATAGCTAGGTTAAATAAGATTATAATACATTAGATAATAGATGCGAGTGGGTTGATTTTTGGCAGATGGAGCATGTGGGAAAAATGTGATTAGTCACTTTGGTAGGAAGAATAGAAATGCAGATTATGTAAAAGAAGAGGGACAGCAAATGCAATTGTAGAGGAGGATTCACATGGTACATCAATCACAAAAGAACGAAATTTTAAAAATCATTTGTTCAGCATTTATGTACAGGAAGTGGAAGGTAAAGGAATGTTAACATTTATTACAAGAGGGATGGAGTATAAAATTAGCTAAGTCCTGCTACAACTGTACAGATCATCAGCAAGATCACACTTAGTTGCACCATGTCCAGTTTTGATCATCTTATCAAAGTAGGGACTTGCCTGCAAATCAGAGCAGGTCTAGGAGGTTTATTCCTGGTTGAAAAGGGTTACATTCAGCATGTTGGCCTGTACTCGTTGGAGTTTAGAAATAGGAGTAGTGTTACTGAAAAAAAATTGAGGGGATTTTGGCAGGGCAGATGTCGAGAAGATCTTTCCTCGTGTGGGGGAAGCTAGTACTGGGGACATTGTTTCAGAGTTAGGGCTCCACATTAAAGATGGAATCAAGAAGGAATTGATCTTTATGTTATGAATCATTGAATTCATTGTGGAGGCTGAGTCATTGAATATTATCATGGCTCAGATAGACAGATTCTTGGCCAATAGTGAATTCATGAGTTACCAGCAAGAGCAAATAAATGAAGTTGAGGGCAAGATCAGATCATTAATGATCTTAAGAAATTGCAGAGAAGGCTCACGTGGCCGACTGGTCTAGTCCTGCCCTTTTCTCCTGTTTGTCTTCACCATAAAACACCCAAAAATGTACCCCCCACCTCATTTTTTTTAAACTTTCAATAAATGCTCCTTAGCTATGTAAGTACTAATCTATGAAGTTCTGGATATCTTGCACATGAGCAGGCATTTGAACACCTTTCTAGTATTAGTAATGTATCTCAGTTTATGAAAACAACAAACTAAGTGACCAGCAGAATTCATTCTAATTATCAGACTTTCTGGATATAAATACTTGCTACGCCCTGCAGTAGATTAGGGATTCCGATAGCCAACTTCAACGGAATGGAATTTAGAAGGCATTTAGTCTCGGCATTCAATGGATTAAGAGTGACAAGGAGAAGAAATGAATGGACAGTTAGAGGGTTATGCTAACTTACAGAAACTAAGTGCTTCAGGGATAGGAGGGCCAGTCAAGTAGAATTGATGTAAAAGATGAACCATAATCATATTGAATGGCAGAACTGATTAAGTGCTCTACTGCTACTATTTGATATGTTACGATCTTATTTACACAGGAGGTGCTATCCATTGTCAAATTTCTCTTCCATCCATAGAGTGTGCATTCTGAATTGCACGTTTCAATCAGTCACAGATTGTCCAAACCAATTACCTCTATCCTGGGTTTCTTTAACTCTGATGATATTTCTTCAGCTGCTCTTTTTACTGTTGGTTTACAAAAAAAACACAAGAATACTCTTTTAAAATGCAAAAACAATGTATTTTGATTTGTGGATTGTTATTGCAAAATTTTTTACAAGTTCAATAAAACAAATCCTTGATACCTTGTGTTGACCGTTGCAAACCAATTTCTAGAGGTGCACTTCTGTCTATACTTGCAGATGTTGCTGCAAAAGAAACAAAATTATAGATAATAAAAAAATCCCCAAAAAATTGAGCAACATTTTTCTCAGCAAAACATTACTAAAGATTTTGTTATTCAAACAGATGGTTCAGTGTCATGAAACAAAGAACTGCAGATGCTGGAAATCTGAAACAAAAACAGAAACTGCTGGAGAAACTCAATTTCTGTTTTTGTTTGAAATTATTCAGTGTCACTGAATTATTCTGCTTTCTTAACTTTTTTTTAAAAATTGGAGTGGCTACTAATATAATGCTACAAATCTTAAAATTCCACATTCAGAATTACACCTATTCTGATAACTTCACTCGGCATTGGCTCCATATCTTCATTATCGTAAACTTCCTCGGGGCACAATCAAAACACAAATTTGGCAAAAACAGCAAAAACAAGAGAACAGTTCAACATACTTTCCATGGCAGCATCACTGCGTTGGATTTGAGGACCAAGGCAGCAATTTGACAAGCTTCTAATAAAAGATATCATACTCTCCGTGTTTACACTACACTGAAGCATTTTGAATTAAGCAGAAAGGTGTCAGAATCAACATTAAATTATGACTGATTTAAGGAAATATAACATGACATTGTCATAGTTTCAAGACAATGTCAATAAATTTTGATTAAAAGGGTATGTTCTGTATATATCTTGCATACGCAGTGTATATCATGTATTATTTCAATTTCTTTAAAACCAGGCTATCTTAACAAACTTGCCATTAATTGAAAATATAAATTATGAAGGTCAAAATTCAGCTTTTCATCTCCTGGCATGCCGCAGTGCCGTTGGGAAACAAGTTCCAGGATTTATATCCAGTGACAATACAATGACAAGACATTTCCAGGTCAAAATGAGTGTGATGTGTTCAACCAGGCAGCTGGATAGTATTTCATCACACTCACATCTTGTCGATATTGCTAAGGCACTGGAGTATCAGGAATTAAAGTACATTGACAGAGATCAGGCCTCAGGCCTGATCTTGTAGCTAGATCTGTCAAGAGCTTGCCAACAAGCAGATAAAGACTACTTTTCTCTCCGAGAAGTTGTGGCTGTATACGAATGCTGTGCAATCATCAAGGAACATCCATACTCCCCACGTTCTTATAGATAGAAAGTCAAAGTTGAAGCAACTAAAGATGTCTGACAGAGGTACAAAACTGAGAAATTTCTGCAGAAACGTCCTGGAGTTTGAGGATTAGCTCCAACGACCTTTGTGCTAACCATGACTTCAACTGGTGGAGAGATTCCACCACCTCCCCCATCACTTCCGCTAGATTTCTCACTGGCTTCAAATTTACTAAGGGCAGCAACTCTTGTGTCAGCTGCGTTATTGAGCTCCTTTGTCCATGTCTGGGCCAGACAAAACTTAGTTAGGCTAAGTAAAAAAAAGTTGCTTTCTTCTGTCAATTCATGATTGGATCATGACTGTAATGGTGTCTCGAACCCAAAATGAATGTCTTTTCCAGGTTAACTGCAACAAACTGGTCCCCTAGTCACAAATGGATAATCTCTGGCTATCATAACTTTGAGCAGTCGATAAAATGCATTCAAGATTCATGGTGCAAAATGAACAAATCTGCTTTTTATAATTGTAAAACGGTAGGAATAAAATCTTCAATATTTGCAGCCAACTGACCAAATCAGAGAACTTACATAGAGTTGGCAGATACATTACATGAATCAACATCAAATGCAGACAGGACTTTGAGTAGCTTTGAATACCCTGCTGACAATAATATACAACCTGATGCAAAAAGTAGTCACCTGAACAAGCTACTATAAAACATGAACAAAAACAGAAATTGCTGGAAAAGCTCAGCAGGTCTGGCAGCATCTGTAAAGAAAAAAAAATCAGAGTTAACAAATTGGGTCCAGTGACCCGAAACGTCAACACTGATTTTTTTCTTCAGAGATGCTGCCAGACACCATCGGTTCTGAGGAAGGGTCACCGGACCTGAAACGTTAACTGTTTTTCTCTTCACAAATGCTGCCAGACCTGCTGAGCTTTTCCAGCAACTTTACTTTTGTTCCTGATTTACAGCATCCGCAGTTCTTTCAGTTTTCATCTATAGATAAGGTCTCACTCGTTTTTAAGCCAATGTACTTTCCCTCACTGGAGTCTGTTAATATTTAGTCAGCAACTGAGACTTCACACGGAATAAAATATCTTAATTTTCCTACCAAAATATCTGAGAATCAATGAAACAGCAGTTTCAATATCGATTAAATTTATAAGATCATACTTACATGTTTCACCATTTAAGTAGCTAAGTAGATCCTTTCTGTCTGGCCTTCGAACTACAGGAATATTCTCTGTCTATTTAAAACAAAAAGAAATTGAGTATTATGTTTTTTTTTTAAATGTTGCAGTAAAGTGCACTTATTTTAATAGGGACTAGGCTGTGCGAAAGGTTCAAATGCTTGCAATAATAGAAATACTTTAATTCAATTTTGCTGATCCTTTCAAAATTAAACTGAAGCCATTTCCTTTTATGTCTCATTTAGCACATAAAAATCAAGAACAAGAGTGAGGGTTCTGACAACGTTGCCTATCAGAAGTAGGTTCATCCCTTCCATTCACAATAGCTGCGCAGCGGCTGGGAAAAATTACGCATACAAAACCAACTCGGACAAATTCTATACAATAGACACATATCACAATACATTGCCAAAGTGGTACATTGCTTATGAAGCAGAATATACCTGAACAAGGAGAGGCAATGATAGAGGTAACGTTACTGCACTCGGAATACAGAAACCTAGGCTAATGCTCTGGAAAGACAAGGGTGGGTGGTGAAATGAAATATAATTTAATAAATCTGTAACGACAAGCTGATCTAGTAGCGACCATGAAATGATTGTCCGTTGTCCTAAGAACTTTTCTGGTTCACTGATGTCCTTTAAGAAATTTGACATCCTCACTTGGTCTGCTCTACATGACAGACCAGATTCACAGCAATGCAATTGACTCTCAAATGGCCAAGCAAGCCACTTAGTTGCATCACAAACTGCTACAAAGTACAAATAAGCAACGAAACTGAATAAATCACCTGGCATCGACCTAGACACAGTAAACAACAGTGGCAAATCCTGCCCTGTGACCCTTAAAATCCTCCTCAGTGATATCTGGGAGCTTGTGCCAAAATTGGGAAATCTATTCCATAGACTAGTCAAGCAACAGCCTGACACAGTATAATCATTGACCTGTCCTTACAACATCCCAGACACCACCCTTACAATCCCTGGATATGTGCTCTCTCCACGACAGATCAGACCAACCAGAAGTGGCACAGTAGTATTCAGTCGGATTAAAGTTGTCCTGGTAGCCCCCACACTGACTCCAGCCATGAAGTCTCATGGCATCAGATGAAACATGAGCAAGGAAATCTCAGGAATAAATAGAAAAGATTTCAATTAGATCTAGCAACTCAAGATCGGGCATCAATGGGGCATGGAGGGCCATCAGCGGTGGCAGAATTGAATGCAATTCAATTTTCGCAATTTTCAACCTCATGGCCCAGCATTTCCCCTACTTTGCAATTACCACCAAGCCAGGAGATCAACCCTCATTCAAAGTAGTGTGCAGGAGCACATGCCAGGAGCAGCACAACACAAAACTAAAAAATGAGGGACCAACCTGCTGAACCTACATTGCAGCTCTACCGCCATGCCAAACAGAAGCAGCATGCAGTAAACAGGACTAAGCAATCCCACAACCCCCAGATCAAATTCAAGTTCCACACTCCTCCCTTATCTCATCAAAAATGACGGTGTATAATTGAACAACTAACACAAAGAGGAGGCCCCACAAATATCCTCATACTCAAAAATGATGAAGGAGACCAGCACATGACAGCAAGAAAGCATTTGTATCCATCTGCAACCAAAAATGCTAAGTGGATGACCCATCTCAGGGTCTTCCCAAGTTTCCCAACATTACAGGTGCCAATCTTCAGCTAACTTGGCTCAATCCACATTGATACTGCGAGGCAGCTATCTGACCTGACAACATTCCAGCAATTGTACTGTAGACTTGTCTTCCTGAGCCAGTATACCAAAGTCAAGCTGCTCCAGCACAGCAACAAAACTGGCATTTAACTAGCAATGTCGAGAATTGTCAAAGTATATCCCACCTACAAATACAGGATAAATTCAACTGTCTTATCAGTCTACTCTCAATCATCAGAAAATAACTCGCTCATTTATGTTTAATTTAGATTTTGTCAGGGCTACCCAGCTTGTGACCTCATTATTATCCATGGATAAAGAACTGAACTCCAGATGCGAGGTCAGAATCACGCCCTTCACATCAGGGCAGCATTTGACCAAGTATGGCATCAAGGAACCTAGCAAGGCAGGAGTTAATAAGAATCGGGGAAAACTCTCCCCTGGCTGAAGTCATATCTCGCACAAAGGAAGATTGCTGTGATGTCAATCATCTCAACTTCAAGACATCTCTTAGAAGTTCCTCAGGGTAGTGTTCTGGGCCCAAACATCTTCAGGTGCATCATCAATGACATTCCTTACATTATAAGAACAGAAGTGGGAAGGCTCATTGATGACAGCACAAGATTCACCACTTCCCAATGGCTGAAATAGCCCATGTCCATATACAATAAGAGCTGGAAAACAATCAGGCTTGGTTGATAAGTGATAAATACCTTTAAGTCACATAAGTGGTAAGCAATGACCATCTCCAACATGCAAGAATGTAACCAGCACCCCTTGACGTTCGGTGGCATTATTGTCGCCGATTCCCCACAGTGTCCTCAGGATTACCACCAACGTACGCTCTAGGCTGTTCCGATCCCTCCAAGGTTCCATGCATAGCAATTGCAGCACTTACTTCTGGCTCCATAGAGTCATAGATTTGTACAGCACAGAAACAGACTCTTTGGTCCACTCGTCCAAGACAACCAGATATCCTAAATTAATCTACTCCCATTTGCCAGCATTTGGCCCATATCCCTCTAAACCATCCCTACTCATGGACCCACCCAGATGCCTTTTAAATGTTGTCATTGTACCAGTTGCAGAAGCAACTGCTGTACATGGTCCTCAGCTGCCTGTGGAACTAGAAAGAAAATTAGAAGGAATGCTGGTCACCATTGACCAGAAACTGAACTTGATCAGTCATATAGATATTGTGGCTACAACGGCAGGTCAGAGGCTAGGAATTCTACAGCAAATAACTCATCTTCTATCTTCCCAATGCCTGGTCACCCTCTGCAAGGCACAAATCAGGAATGTGGTTACATATTCTCCACTTGTCTGGATGGGCTCTAAGAACACTCAAGAAGCTCAGTAACATCCAGTGCATCCAAACTGATTAGCATCCCATCTGCCATCTTCAATATTCACTCCCTTCACCAATGCACAATGGAAGCAACAGATGACATCTACAAGGTGAATAAAGTACCTCACCAATGTTCCTCTGAGCACCTTCCATACTTGAAACAGCTATCACCTAGACGAACAAGCATGGCAGGTGCTTGGGAATGTCACCATATGCAAGCTCCCCCTTCAAGCCACATCTTGACTTGCAATTTCATTACTGTTCCTGACAGTTGTGGGTTCAAAGTCCTGGCACTGTGCGTCTGCAGTAGTTCAAAAAGGCGACTCACCACCACTTTCTCACTGGAAATGGCCAAATGAATGCTGGCCTACCTAACAATTCCCATGTCCCTGAATGAATCTGAGTGAAATGAATAATAAATCCAAGGGATGGAACTAACTAAAGTTAATGTAAACAAGAAAGTGGGATTTGAGAAAAAAATTGCACTAAAAGTGTGACAAATTCCCAGAGTCTGACTGTTTCCACCATAATGTTTTAAAAAGATGAGCAAATATTTTCAGCTATGATGTAACAAAGCTCGTGAGATTCAGGAATAGCCCGTTTAGATTAGAAAGCTGCAAAGTTATTCTGTTACTTAATAAAATGTGATAGAGAGAGACAGACAGACAGAAGCTAGGAAATTATGGATCTGTTGTCTAACATCTGCTGTGGGAAAGGTATTAGAATATATAATTAAAGGACAGAGTGATTGAGCACTTTGAGAAATTTGATCAGAATAGAGACAGCTGACATTAATTTGTACTGGGTAGACCATGGTTAACAAATTTTTTAAGTAAGTAATTAAAGCAGGAACAAGGGAATGTCCTTGGATGTTATTTACACGAAATTCCAGAAGGCATTCTATAGAGTTTCACATAAAAGACTGTTAGATAACATTAGAAGCCAGAGTGGAAAGTAAGCAGGTAATTTAGCCTGAAAGCAGCAGCAAATGATGTGGTGGGCCTCAACCATTCACTATATTTATTTAGAACTTGCATAACACAAGAAACAACAAATCCAAGACTGTCAAATAAGTAAAGATTCTCAGTATTGTACACCGTGCAAACAGCAACTTAACATTACAATACGACATTTATAGATGGAGTGAACGGTCAAACAGACAAATGTGCTTCAACCGGGTTATTTGTTGATTAGAGATTAGCAGATTCAAGCATTATTCAAACAATAAAAAGCTAGCAATGGAGGAGGTTTGGTGATGGTGGTTGTTCATGTAGTGATTTTAATAATCTAGTAAAAAGCAAAATAATGCAGATTTTAAAAAACCTAGTTGCCAAATATAATAAATAATTTAAAAGGCTAAACAAATGCAGCCTTTACAAATAAGGACTAGAAATAAAGGAAAATTTTGCCATTGCTAAATAAATATCTTGGTTAGGTCACAAAACTTCACAATGGCATACAGTTCAGGGCACTGCACCCCAGGGAAGGATAAACTCCTTTTAAATGCCAGTGTAACACAAATTTTTTGGAATGTCAAATGCTCCAGAAGTTAGACTGAGTCGAGATTATATTAACTGAGCTTGTATTCCACAGAAGAAAAAGGTCAAGACATCATTTGATTGAGATTTTCAGAATTTGAAAGAAATTGGAAAAGGTAAATAAAGATACTTTTTTTAAAAATGGACAGGAGAATTATTCATGTAAGTCTCGGTCTCCAAAGATGTTAATATTTCCAAGATTTTCTGCTTTTCATTTGGATTTACAGCACATGAGGTACACTGCTTCAGTATCCAAAGTTTAGGGGCCTTGACTGCTGAAGGCTCAGCCACAACTTGTGCAATTAAAATTTGGAGATGTACAAAACACCAGAATTGCAAGAACAGAGAAACCTCTGAGTGTTATAGAGCTATAGGAAGTTACAAAGATAGAGAATGGCAAGGCCACAGAGGAACTTGAAAATTTATAGATCTGTGATGCCAGCATTGGTCAGGTGCACTGGGATGCTGGCTGAGTGGAACTTGTTGAGAGTTGGAACACAGGTAACTAAATTTGCATGGCCTTAAGGAAGGGGGCAAACAGAGCATGATGTTACACAAGTTTAAATGTTACCTTCCGAACACAGTTGAGTTTATTCATCAGAGCCCCATCAATAATGACTATATGTAGACATTTGCTCTTTGATTTAGGTGCATCAATGGATCCCTGGTTATAACATGATGAATATTCTACATAGCTGTGTGCACACTTCGGATGCAAAATGTTATTTTCATTTGTTGTAAACTTAAGTATACTTACTGCAGCACGTCGCACATATACAGGATGGGAGAGGTGAACATTGTTAAGCAGAAACAATATGGAATCCAAAGTATAATACTCCCTCGGCTGACCTTCTTTTCCCGTCCTATGTAAGAAGCAAAATTGAAGTTAGTGAAGAACTGCGTTTCAAAGTGAACATTATAACATATGCAGTTATATTTATACTTATGGATATCATACCTGTGTATAGAATCGTATTGAAATATGATTTCAGTGGTTTACAGAAATTTCAAGAGACAACCATAGCTAAGGCAGGAAATAAAATGCAAACAGGATCAACATATAACTGTATTTTCCCCCGTGCCGAGGCAAATAACAGAAGAATATTGTTAGTGGGTTATCAAAAAAATGATAAAAGGAGCATATAATTTAATAATCAACACTGGTACTGAAAAGCAAGGGCTTTAAAAATTAGTAATCTAGATACAGCCAAAGTCAACAAAGTAAGGATCTATAATATTTGCCTCTTTTGAAGGCAGCAGATTACAATGAATAACAACACTAAAAGCACCAGCCTCCATTACTTTACCTTGATGCGAGTTCTCAGTCACACAAAGTAGCCTTCAGGGAAGTTGACCAAATGCTTGCCAAATATGATAAGATTGTTGGCCTAAAGGAGGTGATGCAGATGCTTTGCAGTAGTTCCACCACTCTTATTGTCAGTTTTCAGTCAGCTCATACACTACAGTCACGTAACAGTGATCTAACTAACACCTTGGGTGATAATGTCTTACCTATTGTTAATATAGTTAATCAGCCTTAAGCTAATATAACTTCACACTTTACTATAAATTAATAAATTATTTCCTGTCACTTAAGTCCATGCCTCTTTGGCCGGAGACATTAGTGGTTAATCCTTCAATTAATAGTAACAACACAAAGACCGGTGGCAGCAAATCTACCCAAGGAAGATTCTGACAGATTGAATGCCAGCTGTGGGTATCTCTTACAACACATGACAAATAAGAATACTGCCAAAAAAAACCCCACAGAATTGTTACAACGCAGAAACCCATCACAGATACATGTCCAGTCAAGCTGGCATTAAAAAAAATTGCCCAAACAGGTGCAGTAAAATAACCAGTAAAAAGAATCCAGTCTGATATAAAAAGTAAGATAACTAGTTTAATAACAAATTTGCAGATTCACAAATATTATTTCAACCAGAAAATGCATCTTGCAAGGATACATTATTCAGTTCGACTGTCTGTCATGGAGCACCAGCATTTGCTAAACTATTGAACAGCTGTGAAAGCAAAGCCATGAAATCACTAAGGCAATGTAAGTTCATGTTTGTGGTTGAAAGACTACATTTCCTAACTTCCTCTTAGGATGCAAAAACCAAAAAGGATATATTATCTGTAGCAATACTCAAGCAACCATCCCTCCACACAGAAATATAGATGTCAAAACCATGTCACTTAATCAGCTTATTAGTTCACTCTGTGGTAATCTACTTAAAGAGTTCAATGTTTTGCTTTTATAATAGTAAAGGTAACACCTTGCATTGAACATGATTATCCAATGCTATATTCTGAAAATTTAAAAGTGCATGCATCAAATGACTGCACACTTTGTAGTTACACCAATTCCTGAAGAGCTACTAATAGCATTTCATCATGTGATATCTTCAACAATCAGCACAAGAACTTTCGAAGAAAATTTTTCTGGGCCTCATTCACCTGTCAACCAGCATTAAAACATTTGACACTTTTCAGGTTGCTGCACAATCCATAAGCACACTGTTTACAGGGAACTCAGAAGCATGGAGACAAATTCCTCTCATACAAGGAAACAGCAGTGGTTAGCACTGTTCAAGACTTAGCTGTGTCCCACTGAGCTGGGACAGTGAGTCCAATTCTGAGCAGTACATGCCTGGATTAGGAAAGGTCCCTTTCCTTCTCACCAAAATTTGCCTTTCCAGTTAAACATTATCTGACTTGACTTACCTTTTCTCTTCTTTCACTAAAATTGAGTTATAAACTGGTCAAGCCTGTTTCCCAAATGTTGTCCTACCTTTCCCAAAGGTTGTCCTACACCCTAGGATTCACTCCACAACCCAAAAGCTTACTTGTTGAAACAGCAGCGTAATTTGCTGTCAATATAATGATTAGGTTCACCATGATTAACCTGCAAGTCATTTAGCAACATCTGACAAAAATTCCATGAACTGTGAATCCTCAAAAACTGGAGGATTTGCACTGCTCAACAGTTAGCTCCATGGCAACACACCCATACCTGCCAGAGAATTTCAAGAAATTGCTGCGCCTTCACTTTCAATGCCAACAAAACTCAACGTAGAAAGTTATGGCTGATACTTAACTGCTTTAATACATTTTTAATGACAAAACAACTCCCTCAAATTGGCATCCTACCCACCACCTTCAATATTTACTCCATCACGATGCATAGTGACAGCAGTGCATACAGGAAATCCCTGCAACTCATCAAGGCTGCTTCAACAGGATGTTCCAAAGCCATGATTCCTACAATCCACAAGGGGAAGGGCTGCAGATACACTGGAACATCACATGCATGATCCGCGCCAAGTTACAAGCCATCATAATTTAAAGCTATACATATTTCTTTCACAATTGCTGGATCAAAATCCTGGAACTCACTCCTTAACATGGACTGCAGCATTCAAGGCAGTGGCTCTCCACTACTTCTCAAGGACAAATTACAGCTAGCAAAAAGTGCTGGCCTAGTCAACAACATACAAATCCTAAAAAAAAAACTTAAAATGCATTTATGTTCATGAAATACCACTCAACCTCCCTGCTCAGAAAAGTGTAAACACCTGTTATTTTAAACTTTTCTGTGTTTTTGATTCCAGGCTGAAATTGAAAAAAGACTGTTTTAAAAATCAAGATGTGGAAAGGGTTCCTGCGGAGCTAGTAGGAACTGCCAATACTGGAGAATCTGAGATAACACGGTGTAGAGCTGGATGAACACAGCAGGCCAAGCAGCATCAGAGGAGCAGGAAAGCTGACATTTCCGGTCGAGACCCTTCTTCAGAAATGGGGGAGGGGAAGGGGATTCTGAAATAAATAGGGAGAGAGGGGGAGGCGGATTAGAAGATGGACAAAGGAGAAGATAGGTGGAGAGGAGACAGACAGGTCAAAGAGGTGGGATTGGAGCCAGTAAAGGTGAATGTAGGTGGGGAGTTAGGGAGGGGATAGGTCGGTCCAGGGAGGACGGACATGTCAAGGAGGCGGGATCAGGTTAGTGGGTAGGAGATGGGGGTGGGGAAAAATGGTTAGGGAGGCAGGGACGAGCTGGGCTAGTTTTGGGATGCGGTCGGGGGAGGGGAGATTTTGAAGCTGGTGAAGACCGCATGGGAACCCTGCAGCCCAAGGGTATCAAAGCGAAATATGAGATGCTGTTCCTGCAGCTTTCGGGTGGCATCATTGTGGCAATGCAGGAGGCCCAGGACGGACATGTCGTCCAAGGAGTGGGAGGGGGAGTTGAAATGGTTCGCGACTGGGAGATGTAGTTGTTTGTTGCGAACTGAGCGTAGGTGTTCCGCAAAGCGGTCCCCACGCCTCCGCTGGGTTTCCCCGATGTAGAGGAGGCCACAACGGGAACAGCGGATACAGTATACTACATTAGCAGATGTGCAGGTGAACATCTGTTTGATGTGGAAGGTCTTCTTAGGGCCTGGGATGAGGGTGA